CAATCCATAAAGAGATTTTCGCAGTCTACATGCTTGCCCCTAAGAAACAGTGGAGTCAAAGCTTGAAAGAAAAGTCATGTATATCTCCTCTATAAGATGGTCTTTTGAAAACACATTATTAACATCAAGCAGAAATAGGGTCAATACAGGTTCGCTGCAATGGATACGAGGACCGGAATGGTGTTTAATTTAGCAACCGGAGTAAATGTCTTATTATAGTCAATTTTGTATGTTTGTGAGTATCCATTGGCGACCAACTGCACCTTGTTACATTCAAAGAATGCCTCAGATTTAAATTTGATGCTAAAAATTCATCGGCATCTCGTTAATTTCTTGCCCCGAGGAAGATAAAAAATGTCCAAAGTATGATTCCGCTGAAGAACATTCATCTCCTGCATAACAGCAGCTTTCCAGATTGGATCTGCTAAGGCAGCCTCAATAGCAGATGGCACTTGATGGTTGGTTGGGGCCTTAACAAATGCTCTGTAGGTCGGTGATAATCTATGAAGAGAGACAGTTTGTCATTGGATAGAAAGAGCCAGTTTGATAGCATACCTTACTGGAGGAAGTGACTTTCTCATTTGAAGTAGGTTCTCATTTGAAGTAGGAGCAGTGTTGGGAATGTCATCGGGAGAGGATTTAGGGTCCAGTAAGGGGTTAGCAAGCAGCAGAATAAGTAAATTAGAATGAGTGTGACGAGTGTAGACACGAAAAGTGTAGGACGTGCCAGTGAAACTAAAGGGGAAGAGAACTCCTTGGTGTTAGAAGAAGTGGGTGTAACCACTGAAACAGAGGTTTTCTCGATGGTAGGTGATGTGGGGACAACATACATAGGAGTAGGGTAAGGAACAGTGTCCAAGAACCCTAGCTCCCCCTCACTGGAGGACCATTTAGGAAAGGAATACTTTAAAAAAAGAGACATCAACACTTACAAAGACCTTATTTGTGATAGATTAGAGTCAAGGCATCGATGCCCCTTTTGTGTGGCGGGGTATCCGAGAAAAACAAATTTTATGGACCTGGAATCAAGTTTACTCCAACCTGGGATCGTGTTCCGAAGAAAAGGTGAGCACCCAAAAATTTAGGGATCTAAAGTGGAGAAGACCCGATTGTTATGAAAGCAAGATCATGAGACGGCTAAATGGGCTACGAAAGTTATGAGTTATTGAGAGAACTCTAATTATGAGATAAGTAGTGATAAAAATGACATCATTACAGAAACATTTTGGGACATTATAGTGCATATAATTGAGTGGGTAATATCAAAGAGATGTCGATTTTTTCTCTCGATTACCCCATTTTGTTGAGAAATATCGGTAGACGAGCTATGGAGGATGTCCTTACTTACCGAAAATTCTTCCAATATAGAATTAAACAGTTCACGACCATTGCCAGTTTGAATAAATTGAATAGAAATTTTGAATTGAGTTAAAATGAAGATGTGAAAATTTTTTAAAATGGCAAGAGTTCCCGATTTATCATTTAAAATATAGACATGGATCATCCGAGTGTGGACATCAATCAAAGTAAGGAGCTACTGTTTATTGATGTAGCTAGGAGTGCGAGAGAATCCTCATATGTCACTATAAATAAAAGAGAAAAAAATGGAAGATGTGTAATTAAGGCGCCGATAAAGAACACGATGTTTAGCTAACTGACAGATTTCACATTTGAAATTAGAATATTTTTTATTAGTAAACATTAACAGATACAATTGTTAACTGACAGGTATCACATTTGAAATTAGAATGATTTTTATCAGTAAACATCAACGAATACAATTTTTTAAATACTGAAAACTAAGATGACCCAAGCAACAGTGTAACAACATAATAGGACATTCAGTGGACTGAGGTAAACTGCAACTACTTGGTGGAGTCTCCTTGTTCCTGAGATTTTTCTCTTGATGTGTAACAACATAATAGGTGGAGTCTCCTTGTTCCTGAGATTTTTCTCTTGAAAGACATAGAGTTCGCCAACCCGCTTAGCAGTTCCAATCATTCTCCCGTAAGAGTAGTATGTTGGAAGGGTTTGAGAGCTTCCAGTCATGTGGTCCGTGACACCTGAATCAATGATTCATAGACTGGGAGCAAAAGAAGTGTGTACCATATGATTAGTAGATTGACGAACGCGGGAAGTCGATGATCCAGAAGGGAGAGGTTGATTAATCAAGCTGCTTGATTAAGCGTTTCATTTTACTTCTAAAAGAATTGGAGGAATCTGGATTGTTCTGGGTAGAGGCGGTTGTACTGCGTTGATACAGATGTCGTAGCGAGACCCTTGGCAATGAAAGATTTGGTCAAAGGTTTGGATGTAGGTTTCCCATGGAGCTTCTAACATTTATCATGAGTTTGGTTGGGGTTGTGATAGAAATCACAAGTGGAGTGACCAGTCCGAGGTTGAGCACTATTAGAGACGAAGGCGGAGGCTTCGACAAACGAATTGGAAGTACCGAGCATGAAAAGTCTCCGGTTATCTTCGCGATGAATCTCAGTGAAGCAGTGCAAGTAGAAGAAAGAGGATCCTGACAAAGGATACAACCCCGGACTTTGACAAGATCTATGTTGAGGTCTGTCAGAAATTAGAATATGCATCCTTTTCTACAAATTTTTGGAAAAGAGAAAGGTCGGCTAAAGATTCCAAAGTGCAGTCATAATACAGGTCGCATTTCATCCATCATGCAACTAGATCATTGTAGTACTGGGTCACAGTCCTCGATCCTTATTTTGCTTCACGGAATTTCTTAAACACCTCATAGAGTTGGTTGGAATTCCCTAAATCTGAGTAGGTATCAAGGTATCACGGACTGTCGTCCAAAAGGCACTAGCAGAAAGAACATATATGATCGACCACTAGAAATTTCCATGGAGTTGATCAGCCACCACATAACCATGAAATTCTCCACTTCCCAAGCTTCATAGGTTGGGTTGGTCTTTGGAAGTTCACGAATCACACCGGTGATATGACCGAATTTCCCATTCTCTTTAATGAATAAGGACACATATAGGGACCATTCCAGAAAGTTATTGTCGTTCAACTTTTGAGTTGCAATCAAGAAATTCATGTCGTCTTCCAGTCCTCCGGTCTACACAAGAGTAGGGTTTGGAGTTGATCTTCTGGTGAAGTCAAGAACCCCTTCTCAAGGTGATTCATTGAAGGAATCAGCCAAGATTCTAACTGACCCAAAGGATAAGTTGTTGTGGTTCTGAGCAGTCGATGAATTTCGGTAGAATCACGACAAACAGATACAAAACAGATAGCAGTAACTGCAGGAATTGTAGGAATCCTTAAACAGAAGCTTACTGCCCGGCGAAACCTTTAGGACTTGCAAACAATCTACAAGAATAAAAGCGAACAACTGCGGACAGAAAGAAACTTGTCTGTTCGTAGAAATCTGTTATTCCCAGCGAAACAGAAAGGAGTGGAACAAGAGCATACAGGAAGAAACCTGCAGTCTGGAATCCTTGTTGTTCGCAGAAGACTTGTTTGTTGGACCCAGCAGAGGAGGCTGCTGGTTAGGGTGTGGAGGCGTCGGCTGTCGAAACCAACCAAGGAAGCCGGAGGCTGCTGAATCTACGGTTAAGCTCTGATACCATGTTAGAATAGAACTCAAGATAATATTTATTAATGCAAAGAGGGTGTATAAATATTCATTATAGGACATACTAGTAAGGAAACAAACAAAAACATAATAAAGGAATAAAGGAAAGAATATAAAAGCAAATAAAAGTAATTGATACATAATTTTGTATTAATAAATATTCTAATATTCTAATACTTTCAATAAAATTCTCTCAAATCACCAACGTAAATGCAACATCAGATTGTATCTCTCTATTCATTACATGATTGATGGAGAAAGAGTCATGTTTCTCAAGCTGTAGACATACTCAGGTGTTTCTTTCTCTCAGCTTATTGGAAATTTGAAATGATAGAAATATGCGGGTATTTAAGAAAAAGTAAATTTGAGAGGTCATTCGGTATAATATCATCTCGCTTGCCTAGGTTGGACATGCTCTTACAAGAAGAAAAGTGCAAAGATTATCAAAAATCATCTAAGAAATCTTGCTACCAAAACAATGCCAATGATTTTATTATCAGAAACGTGTTTTTTTAATCATTTTTGTCACAAGAAAGTTATGTTTTATCAAATTTTGTTCTTTCCTGTACCTATATTATACATTTCTTCCAATGAAAAAGGTTTTGGCCTAGTCTTCACTAAACAAAAATTACAAGATCATTAAATAAATTTATTTTCACATGGTTCGAGGTTTCAGTAGAGTTGTAAGTTAAAAGAAAAGGTCATACTAACAACGGCTCAATTTAAAATAAATGACAATAGAGGAATAGGGCATTAGAAAATATGAATGCCACTTTGTCATCATCAAATATAAATATGAAAACAGCCATCGACTGAAGTAATACATAAAAATAACAGGCGGCTCCACGGCTGAGACACTATTGTTCATATAAGAAAATTCTAATGATAAAACAAGAATGAAAACAAAGAAAGTGGAAAAGAATATGCAAGGAATTAAAAGTTAATCAGGAAAAATTACCATGCAAAATTGCATATGAGGCTAACAATATTCCAGTAAACTCTACAAAGCTACAAAACATGACATGCCCATTTGTAATGGGCTCCAATAGTACAATCATTACTCTCGTTGATAATTACACGTTTTAGTGTTCAACAAAATTCATTTTAAATTAAGAAAAGAGAGTGCAAACTATTTTAAATGGAAGTCAGAACAAATACATTCAAAGCCCGGAAAGGCCATAAAGGCCATTTTACCGAAGGCACTGGATAATACATGCATGCATTGCTGAAAATTTTAGCCAAATTCGTCACCGAAAGTGTGACTGCCAACCTGCCAAACAATCGATAACTAATTATGATCAGGCATCCCACTTTCAGCTAAGTTCATTGGCCAAACATCAGTCATTTTAGAGTTTTCCTAGCAATGGATAATTGTTAAACTAAAAGTTCAACACAGTACCTTCAAAACCTCTGCACTATGCAAATCTGCCAGCTGCGACTGAAAATAATAGCACAAGGTATCAGATGACAGATTTCAAATGTTGGATTGACATATACCATCTTAGAATCTTACTAACTTTTATCCTGTATGCTTCAGAAAGCTCCTCTTGAATGTTTTTCTTCTCTCTTAAGCATCCAGCTAGCTTCTTTTTCAATATCTCAATCTCCTGCTCCAAAGCAGACGTCCTGATAGGCTTTCATTAGAGTAAAAAGATAATTTCTTTTCCAAATAAAAAAAATAATAATTGAATCCACAAGAAGAAAGCCCAAACCTTTGAAAATGCATTCGAGTTGCAATTCCAAGATAGCTAGTGCCAGCTTGTTGCATGCATAATTGCTCTATATCTTTTCTGAGTTCATCACGTTCTACACAAGAAGTGCTAAAAATGAGCACTTGGTGGTGCCAATCATATAAAAATGTAGTAGAGTGGCATGAACAGCATTTTATGCGGTAAACAACCAACTTCAAAACAATGCTAGGCGACACAAAACATCTCAAAGTTTCACAAACGTTTTACCCTTTACAAAATATTTCAATGCGCATGTTTGGTAACAAAATTTTATCATATAGGTCATGCATCACTCTTGATTTTTGTCATACCACATCCTCGGCTCTTCTATCTAACAAAATAGAGATCCATCATTAAAATCCACAGATGTGGCCCATGTAATTGTAGTTGGGGTTGATAACCCAGCACATTAAAAATCTTCATGGAGACAATTGAAGGCAATATAAGGCAATAAAAAATGAAGGGATGGGAACTTAGGACTGCTATTCTAACCCTTTTTTTTTGGAAATTTGACTTTATGTGCATCATAATGGTCTAAATTTGTTAATTATCACCTACTACTTCACCATTCAAACAAATACGCTCGGCAGTGCATTTCAAATTAAAAAACCCCTGCGATATTAAAATATGACATAACCCTCGACCAAAGAATCACATGAATTTTCGAAGAAGGGTTCCAAACACCTTCTCTATCTTCAATGATCTAAAAGCTCTGTGATCGGTATGTTTTAAAGCTAAAATGCAACAATCTCTACATTCTAATCAACTTTCATCTAAGGTTTCAGATGTCATACTTTTTATTTAGATTTTAATACATTCACCGCTGGCAATTGTAGATTATAATAAGAAAGAAAATATAGAAGAGCGCCATATTTACAAAATGGATAAGGTTTGACTTATATTAAGTGTTTCAAAACTTATTCATACAATAAACGAAAACATCAATACACATCATACCTATTACAACCATCATAATTTTGATATAGTACTGCATAGATCTTTGGGTTCAGGATTACACCCCTCAACTTTCAGCATTCCTTTATATTTATACAAAGTTCTATTCTGTCACAACACAAGTAAACATCTTTCTTTCAAGAGAAACCAGCGTTCATCTTCTCTAAACGAGAAATCTCTGAGCTTATTAGTCCAATGTCATTATTTTTTGTAAATAAATTTTCTTTAGGCCAACCAAACATAGATGTCATTCATACATTATTGTCGGGCATAAACTTATTGGGTAATTATTTTATTGGACTGGATTAATTGATTTTCATAACATCATTATTAGTCTTTCTTCATATGTATACTGCAAACAACTCTTCTCCAGATTTACATACTATATGCCAATGGTTTTTCAGAGCATATGCTTAAGTGGCCTCCCTATTTTAGTACATTCACAAACCATCAATCAATCATGTTTGGGTTGCTTTTTCCAAACTTATGTTGCATTTCTTCAACCAATCCACCTTATACTCTTTGAGTTCCATCTTTAGCAAGCTTTCTAGGACGAAGTTGCTTCCAATTGTCTTTCAAGGGATTCAGAGGATGGAGTTTTGAATCAAATGTATGTTAAATTATCATTAGAGAGTAAGGTATGGATTAGCTTGGAGTTTTATGGATATTGGCAAATGAAATTCTTCAAAGGCATCTCGATATATTTTCTTTCTACAAAATTGTAGGATACATCTTCTCTTGAGTGTTTCAAATGCTTCTTCTAATTTAAGAAAATCAAACTAATTAGAAGTAAGAGATTCATTCTAATGATCAGAAGCCTCTCATCCATCATGACTACAGGTTTGCTCTCAGAATTTGAAAACATTTGACTTTCCTCAGGATTCTGATCTATTGTGTCTACCCCTATTAGCCCTATAGACATAGCTTCTCCATCTTTGGTAAGCAAAAGTATAGTTTATGCTATCTAGTTGTGGTTATTACCCCACTCCAACTCATTAGTGAAGACACGGGTAGCCATGATGATCAGCAACCAATTGATTCAAATGGGAGTAGGATCATGTTTTGATCGATGGAGGTTCCAGATTTTGTTTACCAAACAAATTTGTAATCAAAATAAAATATATCAATCTCTAACTTTCACTGTGCTTCAAGCAAAGGCAATCCAACTGAGCTATTATATTCCGCTGTAGTTTTCGAGTACTATTAGATGTTTCATCCTTTCGCTTCAAACAGTATGTATTTACACTTTTGCATATTTATCTATACCCGAGCAAATCTAGTTAATTGTCCCTGTTAAACTCACATTATTTCATTAATATAATTTTTTGCTTTAAAAAATATATAGTACAATCATGTTCTAACCTTATTTGAATAAAATTCAAAATTCAAACCAAGTTTGAATAATACTCAAACTTATTCGAATATTGTTCAGACACTAAGCCCAAAGCCATAAATATCATTACACATCATATTCCATGTTAGAAGGATGTTAAAATCATGATTAAATCTTAACACTCAAAGTTATTTGAATATTATTCAAATATTATACAAAATTTGGTCTGAACATATTAAAAGTTGCACATATCATGACCACACCTGCTCAAAATATGTTCGAATCTCTTTAGAATGATAATTGATGTTTGAACACAATTTAAGAAAATTTCAAAAATGGTTAGAGCACAGTTTGAACATGTTGATAACAATGATAAGTATGATTAAATCAAGGTTTAAATATGTTTCAAGTTAAGTCGAGCTTGGTTCAAACTTTTTGTTTTGTTCTCACTATCTCATGTGAAATTGATTAATTTGAGTATAATGCTATGTAATCAGATACATATAGTTTAATCATATGTGTAAAGATGCATACATTACTTGAATCACATACAAAGCCGAGTGTGTGATGAATTAATTTATTAGATATTTATTTTAGAAGACAATAACATCAGCAGATAAAAAAACAATAAATAAAAAACATTCGCCTAGAAATAGTAGAGCAAAAAAAACAACATAAAAAAAGATCCAAATATTTCATAAGAAAGTTAAAGTTATTTAATCTTATTCAAAGATCTGAGAAATCCCCATGACTACTATTTAAAGCCACTAAGTTGCAATTCTCTAGAGTCTTAATTCATCAACTAATTATGAAAAGGTCGATGATGACAAAAATATAAGATGCCGAATTGTTAAAGATTTGATGGAAACAAGAACCATAAAAATACTGATATAGATAAAGCATTCTTCTTGTACATCGAGAGTAATGATGTACAAAAATTAAATTTATGTTATCTTGTAGATTACGTCTGCTTAATCATGATAAGCATAATATGTTTTCAGTAAGTTGCATTGATTAAAGATAAGAAAACACTTTTTAGATACTCATTGGATGGTTTATCATGGGATAAAACTCTAAAAGGATATAAATAATGACATTGGTGCACTATGAGGCCATTGTACTGGAAAAAAAATGTGCTAGCCCAATACACAATCATAACATATGCCATAGTATTAAGGTACTAAGCTTACGAATTCGTCTCATAACTCGAGAGAAAATGTGCAAAGTAACCTGAGGAAAAAGTACGAAGGATGTTAAGCTACATGAACAATAAAGAGCATACCATTAAAAAAGTCTGAAGGATGTTAAGCTACATGTCCAAATTTTGGTTTTCTTTTCCCTAGGACCAATTTGTAAATATATATATCTCTGTTTCTTCATCCCAGGGCAGACATATACACATGTGAATTTTCTCCACCCTCATATGCCTATATACATGATACGTGGTTCCTCAACTGTTTAAGTGGTTTGGACGCTGCTATTCATGTCTCAAATAGTTGGCTTATGCACATGTTAGGACAAATATGCTTTTTATTCTTTTTCAATTCGGTTACCTATGACGGCTAGTTGAGAATTGGTTAGATAACAGTGCTGAAATTCTTTTTTTCTGTTGCTGCCCTTTCTCTAGTTGCGGCAGGGAATGCAGTTATGTGAACTTTTTATATGGCTGTTAGGTGGATATCTGAGAAACATAGCTCGTACATGCCACCCAATTCTTATATATTTACATTCATAACACCTAAACTATTATTCTTTTCTTGGAGGATGATACATTTTTAAAGATTCACATGCATGCCACCCAATTCTTATTTGTTTGGCTTTATGATTAAGCCTGTTCTTGGCATTGGCTTTGTGATAATAATGTTGTGGCTGCATGGTTTTAAACGAATACATTTCTTTGCTTCTCTTTAGGATCTTCCAATTGGAATTGTGAGAACCCTCTTTCTCTTTTGAAAGCTTAAGGTTCTATTTTCGCCCCATTAAATGCTGCTTTTCTCGAGGTGATTAAACGATGTTTCAAGGAGACTTGAGAACCATTCTTGCTCTCTATTTTGGCTCAGTTTTCCTTGATAATTGTTGGAAATATATGGCATCTTGGAAGTGTTTTGGGCAGTTTTTGGGCTGCATCTTTGGCCTGTTTTGGGCAGTTTTTTGGGTTGCATCTTTGACCGGTTTTGGGCAGTTTTTGGGCTGCATTTTTGACCTGCTTTGGGCAGATTTTGGGCTGCAGTTTCTTGAGCTGCAGGTTTTGCCCCGTTTTGGAGAGGTTTTGTTGGCTGTTTTCAAGGTGTTTTGGCACTTGTTTTGGAGAAGTTTTGTTACCATTTTGGCACCTGTTTTGGGGAGTTCACTTTTAATTAAAAAAAAGATGAGTAAGGTTTATGTGTTAGATAAATACAAGAAAGTGAGTGTTATGGGTGGAAATCATTCTTTGGTTCGCTTTGTAATTCGGAAAACTATTACTGGTTTATTCATGGCTTTAATGGGAGGAAGGATGGCAGCTAGCTCTTTCTTTGTTTTAATTTTGAGGGCTATGGTATCGGTTATTACCTCGCTCTTTGTCTTGGGCACTATCTTGGGAATTCATACTCTCTGTCTCGCTCATTTGAATAGCGGGCTCTCATTTATTTCTAATGCATATACAACATCAAAGCTTGATCACTCATTGGTTTTGTGCCAATTTCGTGGCTTGTAGAGTCGCATTTTGGAGGAGTTTGGGTGGGGGCTTTTGGCTCATTGATTTGGGGTTCGAACATGTGTTATTTATGAGAGTTTGAAATATGTTTTGA